CCAGCAGTTGTCCTGTATAGTGCCCAATGTTGTAATGCTGCATATAAGCTTTGTGTAATAAAAAAACAGGCAGGCTTCATTCTCCTGTCCGGCTTGCTGACAAATTTTAGGAACCTTTTAGGCATTTTGCCATAGCACCTCCGAAGAATCCACCCAGCTGGAACCCCAGTTGAAAAAGATTTGTCTAGCCATCCACCAAAATGAACGATTAAGGAAAGTTGTTCATTTGATGCTAATAGTTTGCCAGATAATTAAGCTATCTCCAGGTCATCCCAGAGAGGCAGAAACTTGGAGTGTCCCAAATGCATATATCAAATTCCTCTAGGATTTTTGCAGTTTGCCCACTCTTTCCCCTACACTCAATTGTTGTGTCTAAATAAGGCTGCCCATGATAATACTGGGCCAAGTGTGAGGCACAGGGGGCATGGTGGAAAGGCCAAATTTACAGTTGTCTAAAATTAAAGTATAACTAAAGGTACATTTTTTTTGTAGTTTTGGATAGAGTGGAGATGGATTTGAACTCCTGTTAGTATTTATTGCTGTCTGTGTCCCCATTAGGAAGATTCACCCACTTGTCCTGTTAACCATTGATATTGAAAGTGAAAGTAAAAGAAATACCAAACTTTTTGGTTGTCCCCAGAAAAGTAATAGATGGGAAATCTTCCAAAGGGTACACTAGTTCTGGTGACCTGGGGGTTCCCCAGGAATTACCTTAATTTGCATGGATTTCCTCTCGCTTCCTGTTTGGCTATGGGACAGAAGGTGAAGGGAAATATCCACAATGGGACACTGATGGCAAAAAAAAAAATCTAACAGGGGTTATAACCCTCCCTTGTTGTATCCAAAATGAAAAAAACTTTTGCCTATACTCCTACTTTAAATTGGTATTGGTACAACAAACATCATCCTAGATTGTAAGCTTGAAAGAGCAGGGCCCTCAATCCCTCATGTTTTGCATTGTATTGTTATTGTTCTGTCACATGTTCTGTTCCCCTTTGTAATGTACAGCGCTGAGCGAACTATCGGCGCTTTATAAATACTGTATAATAATAATAATTGTGACTGGAGTCACTTTGCATGTGGGGCCCATGAAACCCAGCTCACTTTGGAGAGGTGGGGAGACCCCTGTCTCAGCTCCCCATATCCCTATTATGTGTAAGTCACCCTGTGCCTGTTAGGGGTACAGGGTGATCTGTCTTAATATTGTGTAGACATGTCTAGGTGATAGGTGGGGTGGGGGTTATGGATTGTTTGGTGTTATGTGGTTGCATCTCATTGTTCTATTGTGTGTCTGGTTTGGGAGCAAACTATTATGGGATATATGTGTTTATGCGTATTAGCTTAGTGGGGGGGTGTCTCTAGCAGCCTCTCTCCTGATGGGACTGCTGGTGTGAAGTTTGAATACCTGTGTGTCTCTTGTTACTAAATGTAGATTGCCCCACCCTGTATCATTCTGCAGGGAGTGGGGATTGCCCATTGAGTGTATATATCTTGTATCTGTGTTCAAATAAACTAGTCTACCTCTGGCTTACTTCGAATCTGGTGTTGTAAGAGAGTTCCTGCAGGAAGAATCGTGATCGGGAACGCACATGCGCGAAAGAGATCCCGCAGAAGGATTGCCAGTTGTGCGCAGGAATGCACGATCGCGCACATGCACGCACACGTGCACACGCACGGCGAAGATTGGCTATTTAAGGTGCGCCTCTGCCCAGATTCCGTGCTGACTGGTCTTCAGCTCCCCCCGTGTCCTGCTTGCTCCTGTTCGTTTCCTTGTTGACCCGGCTTGTTCCTGACCCGACTCTGAGTACTCTCCTGCCCCTGGTTCCTGACTTCGGCTCTGATCCTGACTTTGGCTTTTCCTCCTGATCCTGTACCGTGCTGCCCGACTGTTATAACCCTGGCTATCCTACGACTCCGCTCCAGTCCTGTGCCCTGGCTACATACCTGGCTCTGCTGTGCATCTGGCAATCCACTGTACCTGCCTGGTCTATTGCTACAGTACCCGAATCAGAGGATATCCTGCCTACCAAGGTCATCATCTGCAAGAGCTGCAAGCAAACCTCTGGTGCTCTTGTTCCCCTGGTCCCTAGACTCCCTCTGTTCCAACTTCAGCGGGGTCAGGGCTAGTGACACAAGTGAGGCCGACCTCGCCAATTCAGTCTCCCATCAGGTACGTGACTGGTGTTGTCTGGATCTTGGTGTAACAATAGCCAGATTCACTGGTTTCGTGTTCCAGAGCCTGAGAAGCAGCTTCTTGATGGAGATACCTAGTTGTGGGTGTCTGGGGTCCATTACAATCATCCTGAAGAACACTGCTACTACATAAAACTACAGATTCATCAACTGGCTTACAAACATTATTTTAGGTTATTTGAGCACCACTGTGATCCCACGTTTTATTATTTTATGCTTCCAAGAAAATGGAAACCTTAGCAGCTGAAGGGTGACATGAAGTTTTTTTTTTTCCTAAGCAGTGTTTAGATGCTCTTAAAAATGTACCTGTAAAATAGAACTTAGGGAAAAACTTTTTGTCAGGGTTATAACTCCTGTCAGCTGTTCTTTTTTGCCATCTGTGTCCCATTGGGAGGAGTTCCCATCACTTCCTGTCCCATAGTCAAAACAGGAAGTGAGAAGCATCCCTCCAAAAAGAGAGAATTCCTAGTTGTCACCAGGGTCACCAGAATTAGTGTCGCCATTGGAAGATTTCCCGTCTATTCCTTTTCTGGTGACAACCCAAAATGTTTGGATTTTCTTTCATTTTCACTTTTGGTAATAACATTAAATAGGACAAATAGGGTGAACCTCCATAACAGGGGTACAGACTGCAATAAAAACTGACAGGTATTCTAATCACTCTCCAAAAAAGCTTTGCCTTTAGTTATTTTCTAATTTCTCTGCAGAAAACAAATGTATTCCAGGACTGAGCTAGGCGACGTATCCTAACAAAATGTTGATGTTTTTGATGTACTGGTACAGCCACAGAAAAAAAAAAACGCAGGCTATTAAGGGAAAATCTGTTGATTTTTTTTCACTGGTATTTGTGAGTGTGTAATTCAGTTCCCTCTCACTGCTATGTTTCTGCTCCCATCTGTTTATGTTTGCTTATGTTAGGATGACTATTCCTCATGCTATGTGTCCATTTCTTTTCCAGTTTTACAGCTGTCTGTCTGTCTCTTTGCCATTTCTTTTCTTAGCGCAAATGATCAGCAGTAATAATAGTCTCAGTGTGATGCAGGTAAGTTTTGGGGTTGCAGTACACCTAGTAAGGTCAGTCTTATGATACATCTTGTTTTTCTTATTTATAAGGTATAATAAAATAGTATTCAGACTTTCCAATGCAGGTTAATGCAGGCCATAGACGGGGAGAAAAACGGAAGATTTTTCTTTTAAAAAACAAAAAAATCGGTCGTTCAAGTGGCCGACGTTACCATCAATGGTAAAAAAAATCGGCCGATTTTCATCCCGTCTACAGCCAGCAAAAAGTGTCCCTGCAGAGAGCTCCGCTATTTCTGACAGTTCCTTGACATTTACAGCAGTTGCAACATTGTATCTATTTGTTTCTATTTAGGATACAGATGTTTTTATTCGGAAACAAATAGATACAATGTTGCAACCGCTGTAAATGTCAAGGAACTGTCAAAGAACTGTCAGCTCTTTGCAGGGACACTTTTTGCCGTACTGGAATTCCTCTTATTTTTCATCCTACTTCTTCTTCTTCTTTTTCTTCTTCTTCATCATCATCCTCTTCTTCTTCTTCTTCTTCTTCATCATCATCCTCTTCTTCTTCATCATCATCCTCTTCTTCTTCTTCTTCTTCTTCTTCTTCATCATCATCATCATCCTCTTCTTCCTTCTTCTTCATCCTCTTCTTCTTCTTCTTCACCATCATCATCCTCTTCTTCTTCATCATCATCATCATCATCATCCTCTTCTTCTTCTTCTTCTTCTTCATCATCATCATCCTCTTCTTCTTCTTCTTCTTCTTCTTCATCATCATCCTCTCCTTCTTCTTCTTCTTCACCATCATCATCCTCTTCTTCTTCATCATCATCCTCTTCTTCTTCATCATGATCATCCTCTTCTTCTTCATCATGATCATCATCCTCTTCTTCTTCTTCTTCTTCTTCTTTTTCTTCTTTTTGTCTTCCTCTTGCAGGTCACTGCTCATGTGCAAATTTTTTATCGGTAAAAAATTGGCCGATTTGCTCATCATTGCCGCGAAAATCGGGCGATCGGCAAAATCGGCCGATTTTTTTCCAACTTTACCGATAAAAAAAAAACGGCCAAAATACCAAAAAACAACCAAACAAATAGCCCACTAACGATCCGAAAATCGGCCGATTTTCGACCCATCTATGGCCTGCATTACTCTGGGTTTTTTTCCCCTCCCCCCTACTGAGTCACCCTTTGTCTCCACCCTCTACCCACCTCCGAGCACTGTTTCTTGGCTCCATCCCCCTACCCACCTCCCAGAACCACCCAATTCATAGAAAACAGAACTAAGTATCATTTTGAATTTCTAAGTCATTTGTATGGAATTTGTTAACCAATTGCCCTTCAGAGGATTTACCCCCCTTCCTGACCAGGCCATTTTTTGCATTACAGCGCTGCATTACTTTAATAGACGATTGCACGGTCATGCCCCGATGCACCCAAATTAAATTTATGTCCTTTTTTCCCACAAAATTGAGCTTTCTTTCGGTGGTATTTGATCACTTGTGCATTTTTATTATTTCGCACTATAAAAAAAAGACCAACAATTTTGAGAAAAAAAACAATATTTTTGAATTTTTGTTATTAAAGATGTCCAGTAAAAAAATTTTAAAAATCCAATTTCGTAATAAATGTACACCAAAATGTATTCTGGTATAGGTTTTTGCTAAAAAAAAATCCCAATACGTGTAAATTAATAGGTTTACGTGACAGTTATAGCGTTTACAAATGGCAGCATATATACTGCAATTTTTAATTTTAAAATTTTTACTAGTGATGGCGGCAATCAGTGACTTATAACGGGACTGTGGTGGACATTCTGACACTGGGGGGAACTGACTTGGTGTCACTGACATCCCCAGTGACACCAATACAGTGATCAGTGTTAAAAAAAAGCACTGACACTGTACTAATGGCATTGGGCAGGAAAGGGTTAACATGAGGGGAGATCAAAAGGGTTAACTGTGTGCAGGGAGTGGTTTACTAGGGGGCCATGTCAGTGTGCTTCACTGTAACCACACTGCTCTGGATGGCTGTGCTGTGCACAGCCATCCAGAGCAGTGTGCTTGAGCTGGCAGGGAAGAGGACTGTTAGTAAACAAAACAGTTCTCCTCCCCATCAGAGATCTTCGCAAATCACCAGGCACCAGCGAGTAATTACCGTGGCGGGACCCGGTGATTGACAGCAACGCCCCCTACCCGGAAATGCAAAATCATGCATATATACATGATTTTGCACACCCGTGCCACCCTGTAGCAGTATTTCTGTTATAGGGCGGATGGGAAGCAAATAATGATAACAAGTAAAACAGTAAAATAGATACCCTGTAGTCATCAATAGCCCTCTCCACCAACAATAAATCCCTCAGCAGCAATAGATATCCCAGCAACAATAGATCCTACAGCAACAATAGATTCCCCTAGCAACAATAGATTCCCCTAGCAACAACAAATCCCCCCAGAAACAGTAGACCCCACAACAACAATAGTCCCACCCCAAGATCAATAGATCCTCAACAACAACAATAGCACCTCAGCACCCAACAACAATAGACCCCTCCTGAAAACAGTAGATCCCACCCAGCAACAACTGATCCCCAAGCAACCCACCCACAGCAATAATAGACCCCTCCCACAATGGTAGATCCCTGCCAGCAACAATTAACCCCTCTTGCAATCCCTCCCAGCAGCAACTGACTCTCCAGAAACATAAGACCCTCCCCCAGCAACAATAGACCTCTCTGTGCTTTGCAGGGAGAAGAAACAGAAATATTGGTCCCTCTGCACTGAGCCCTGTGTTGTTTGTTAACACAGGGCTCTGAGCTGTGATTAGACACAGCCATGAATCATTAGCTAGGACCTGCTGACAAAATCCCACTGTGTTCAATCACAGTGGGAGTTGGCAGGTGGGGGGGGGGGGGGGGCGTGCGCCCTGAACCTAGAATACAGTTATGTCGTTTTGCCTGTAGAGTGCTTGTCTACAGTATAATGTGGCCCTAAAGAGGTTAAAAAGTAAAAAAAAAATTTTATTACTTGCTAGATTCTCACCCAGGCAAGAATAACATTGTGGCAAGTAGGATATTTGGAGCACTCTGAGATGGAGTAAGGAGGTAGATGTGGCATAAAATAGTATGTATAAGCATATAATTAATGGTGATGGAATTAGGGGAAATAAATCATGAACAACATACTGTGATAAATATACAAATAAAATGTCCTTAGAAAGAATCCTATAGGTAATTCTGATGCACCATTGAGTGGTGGCAGCCGGCCCATAACGAGCTATAGAGGCCCTGTGGAAGATCAGGAAGAAAGAGGTGGCACCCTCTAAGTGCAGTATGAAAGCTTTTAATGGATAAAAAGTGTAGTAATACAGGCCATTCACAAAGCATAAGAAGGTTTGCGCTTGTAAATTAATAAGCATCCTCTGGAGTGTGAAGCCCCTGGATGGATGGTGGTCACCGTCATTTGGCGATGGTACTAGTGGCTTCCAGCACATCCTCCTAGTTCCGGGATTCCCTCTGTTGAAATGTCACTTCCGGTCACGTGATGGCGGGGTAGGCACACTGTAAGGGAATTCCCGTGAGACGGCTGGTGAATAGACGTGCGCATGTGCACAGAAATGCACGATCACGCACACACACGTGCACACGCACAGTGAAGATTGGCACCAGATGGACTATTTAAGAGGTGCCTCTGCCTGTGCTCAGTGCTGACTGGTCTTCAGCTGTTCCCTGTTTCCTGCTCGTTTCTGTGTGTGATTTCCTTGTTGCTGACCCGGCTTGTTCCTGACCTGACTCTGATTCCTCTCCTGCTTGATACTGGTTCCTGATTTCGGCTCTGCTCCTGACTTTGGCTTGCTTTTGATTTGGTACCTCGCTGTCCGCCCGTTGATAACCCTGGCTATTCCTTTGACACTGCTCCTGTCTCCCATCCCTGCTTCCTGCCTTGCTCTGGTGCACACCTGGCGATCTACCATACCAGCTCTGCATATCACTACTGTGCCTGAATCGTAGGTTCATCAGTCTTCCAAAGTCTCCAACTGCAAGAGATGCAAACAACATCTGCTGGCGCTCTTGTCTCCCTGGTCCCTAGACACCCTCTGTTCCACTTTCAGTGGGGTCAGGGCTAGTGACACAAGTGAGGCCGACCTTGTCATTTCAGTCTCCAATCAGGTACGTGACAGTATCAGTCAGCCAGTGATGGAGTCTGAAAGGGAGGCCTCTGCAATGGGAGACATCTGTCAATCAATCTCTGCCTTGTCTTACATGGTGCAGAGTTTGCAAAAAAAACCTTGAGCACATGGAAAACCAACTACCAACCAAGTCAGATGTCTCAACAGCCATGGGTCCTTCTGCAGTCTCAGACATAACTACCCAGATAGAGCACCGCATGATTCATGGAACTTCTCCACTGGACCCCGGGTTCCAATACTTGAGTCAGATGTTTCAACAGCCATGGGTCCTTCTGCAGTCTCAGACATAACTACCCAGACAGAGCTCAGCATGATTCATGGAACTTCTACACCGGAACCCGGTTCCAATACCTGAGTTTTTCACGGGAGACAGCAGGAGGTTTCGAACCTTTCGTAACTCCTGTGAGCTATATTTTTCTCTGCTACCGAGAACCTTTGCATCACAAAGCACCAGAGTGGGATTCATTATTTCACTCCTTCAGAATGAACCCCAATCCTGGACACACCACCTTCATGAGCAACATGATCCGGCTCTGACTTCTACAGACTCTTTTTTCTCAGCAATGTCACAACTTTACCCTGATCCCTTCTGCCGTCAGACTGCGGAATCTTTGCTTAGCAAGCTACAGCAAGGCCAAAGGCTTATAGAGGAATATGTCACCGAGTTCTGTATATGGAGTTCTGACACTGAATGGAACGAATCTGCTCTCCTCCATCAGTTGCGACTTGGTCTCTCTAACATCTTGAAAGATGAGCTTGCCCGAGTTGAGGTACCAACCAGGCTAGAGGACCTGATAAACCTAGCCATTCAAATTGACCGACGGCTCTGGGAAAGACTGGGCGAAAGAACTAGCAGGGGCGTCTTGATCTGCTCTGAAATAGAGACTCCTGTCCCCTCAACCCACTGCTGTCACATTAGACATACTCTCCAGCAAAAGGGGGCTTCGTAATTCTCCTCATAAGAGCTTTTGGAGACCACCATTATCCTCTGCTGAACCTCTTCGACGACAAGACTCCAACCTCTGCCTCTACTGTGGTGATGTGAGTCACTATGTACTGACATGTCCAGTGAGACCTCCTAAGCCCTCTCCTAGCTGGTTCCATATGATGCACCCACAAGGAACGAGTCAAACGCACCTCCCCTTCCTTCTTCACTTGCAACTTGCTGGAAGAACTATTTCTGTTTTAGCAATTATAGACTCTGGTGCCTGTAGCTGTTTCATGGATTCTACCTTTGCTCATCAATACAATATCCCTCTCTGTACCAAGAAACAAAGATTTTTGGTCCATCTGGCTGATGGCTCTGGTATCGGTTCTGGCCCAGTGATGCAAGAGACTATGCCAATCTTCTGCCACTCATCCTCAGGACATCAAGAACTTCTACGTCTGGATGTCATAACCTCACCAATGTTTCCGGTCATCCTCGGCATGCCCTGGCTAAGGGCGTACAACCCATCCATTAACTGGCTCTCCGGGAATCCTCTTTTCTTCGAAATACTGTCAGAACCATTGCATTCCGAAGGAACCATGCGCAGTGACTCCTCTTCTTAGCATCCTTCCTGATGCAGAGATGATGAAACTTGTCCCTGCTGTCTACCATGATTACTTGGATGTATTTAACAAAAAGAGTGCCAATGCTCTTCCCCCGCACCGGCCCTACAATTGTCCTATTGAACTCCTACCTGGTGCTGAGATCCCTTTTGGGCGAATTTACCCTCTCTCCGAATTGGAACTAGAGATCCTCCGGAATTACATAGATGAAAGCCTGGAAAAAGGGTTTATTCGGCCCTCTACATCACCAGTGGGAGCTGGCATCTTCTTTGTCGAAAAGAAAGATCATACTCTTAGACCATGTGTGGACTATCATGATCTAAATAAGATAACAGTCAAGAACCGTTATCCTCTTCCTCTGATTCCTGAATTGTTCCAAAGCCAAGAGGGGCATGTGTCTTTCCAAAACTAGATCTGAGAGGTGCATACAATTTGGTCAGAATTCGGGAAGGCGATGAATGGAAGACAGCCTTTCAAACATGCTTTGGGCACTTCAAAATACCTGGTTATGCCATTTGGCCTTTGTAATGCCCCAGCAACATTCCAACATTTCATTAATGATATATTCCAGGACTATCTTGATTTATTTATCATTGTCTATTTGGATGACATCCTAGTCTTCTCAAGCTCAATAGAACACCGGGACCATGTGAAGAAGTTACTGGGTAGGTTACGCCAACATCACCTATGCCAAAGCTGAAAAGTGTGAATTTGAGAAACAGACCATTCAGTTCCTTGGACTTGTGATTACTCCGGATGGCATTGCTATGGATCCTCAAAAAGTGACCTCTGTATTAGAGTGGCCCGTCCCAGGAGACAGGAAAGCGGTACAACGCTTTGTGGGATTTGCTAATTTCTATAGGAAATTCATTAAGAACTTTTCCGGTATCATTGCACCAGTCACGCAGTTAACCAGGCAACATGTTGCTTTCAAATGGACTCCCGAGGCTCAAGCAGCTTTTGAACAACTAAAGACCTTATTCACCTCTGTTCCTATCCTGAAGCACCCAGATCCTGCTTTAGCTTATGTTCTCGAAGTAGATGCTTCTGAAAATGCTGTTGGAGCTATATTGTCTCAACGTCAGGGACCCAAGTCCCTCCTTCACCCTGTTGCCTTCTTCTCTAGAAAGTTAAGCTCCCCTGAAAGGAACTATGACGTAGGAGACAGGGAGCTGTTAGCCATCAAGGCGGCCCTCGAGGAATGGCGCTATTTGCTGGAGGGAGCTTCACACCCTATCCTCATTTTTTTCCCGGATCACAAAGATCTGGAATACTTGAGAACTGCAAAACGCCTAAGGCCACGGCAGGCAAGATGGGCACTTTTCTTCTCCCGCTTTGTGTTTCACTTGACTTACCATCCAGGATCAAAGACCGGCAAATCCGATGCGCTTTCACGCATGTATCATGACCCAATAGTACCATCTGAGCCTGACACGATCCTGCCAGCTAAAA